GATGGGCCTAATTACAGAATCATATCGACCAAAAACAGTAAAACACTCCTTAACGTCTTGTATCTGATGGAGATGGTGCTGGAGAGAAAGAAAACAGCAGCTATAAGAAAACACATACCCTAGGCTAATCTCTCTCTAATTTATGTTTTCATCTTTCAAGTAAATCCATAACCCCTAACAGCCCATGGAATAGGCCCATTGATTTATAAAAAAAAACATTTTACATTTTTTTTTTCACACACTACTCTTAGGGATTCCACCTGGCTTTTATTTTATTGGCACAGCCAGTATTTGAGGCTGCCTGGCTGGTGCCAATATTACAGTGATACTGGCAATACAAATGCTGGTATTTTTCTCAGTATAAACAAGAGATTACTATGCAATACCAGCACTGGCCAGTAGGGGTCACTGTGTGTGGGGACAGGCAGGGATAGGACTTTCCAGCATATCCATCCCTGCCTATCTGTACTCACTGATCTGCAGGGGTGCAGCTACAGAGAGTCCAGACAGCAACTCCCACCCTGCAGAGACAGCCTACAGCTCAGGTAAGTAAGGGATGGGGGGAAAGGCTGCAAGGAGACATGGGGACACTGAGACACTAAGGGACATTGGGAGACATTATGACACAGACACATAGGGACACAGTGTCCCCATGTCTCCCAGCCAGTGTCCCTGGTGTCTCAGTGCCCCTTAGTCTCCCAGTGACCCCTAGTCTCCCAGCACCCCCAGGCTGCCAGTGGCTCACTGTCCCCATGTCTCCTAGTGCCTCCATGTCTCCCAGTGCCTCAAGTGTCTCAATATCTCCATGTCTGCAGCTCCATCAGCCCCTATGTTAATCCGTCCCTGCCTCTCACACCCCCAGCTGTCCCATGTCCCAATCCGGTCCTGGTTAATACTGTGTGTCAGACTTTGTACTGACCAGCCCATCTCAGCATCTTCAGGGCTTAACCGTGTGCAGACTATATACTGACCAGCCCCGCTAATATACGTAGTGAGGATTGATTCCACTAACAATTAAGATATACTCTCAGATTGTTTTGGTAAAAGTTAGTAATATCCATTTCTTTCCCTGCACGGTTTTGTTTACAAAGAGGGCTATGTTTTGTACTTTCATTTACATGTGCGGCTGCTGACTGCACCTGACTAGTTTACTGACTAATCCTCTCTGCCATCTTCTGGGATTAACCCTGTGTGACTAGTCTATATACTGACCAGCCCTCTTTGCCATTTTCTGGGATTAACCCTGTGTGGACTAGTCTATATACTGACCAGCCCTCGCTGCCAACTTCAGGGGTTAAACCCTGTGTGGCTAGTCTATATACTGACCAGCCCTCTTTGCCATCTTCTGGGGTTAACCCAGTGTGGACTAGTCATCTTCTGGTGTTAACCCAGTGTGGACTAATCTATATACTGACCAGCCCTCTCTGCCATCTTCTGGGATTAACCCAGTGTGGACTAGTCTATATACTGACCAGCCCTCTCTGCCATCTTCTTGGATTAACCCAGTGTGGACTAGTCTATGTACTGACCAGCCCTCTCTGCCATTTTCTGGGATTAACCCAGTGTGGACTAGTCTATATACTGACCAGCCCTCTCTGCCATCTTCTGGGGTTAACCCTGTGTGGACTAGTCTATATACTGACCAGCCCTCTTTGCCATCTTCTGGGGTTAACCCAGTGTGGACTAGTCTATATACTGACCAGCCCTCTTTGCCATCTTCTGGGGTTAACCCAGTGTGGACTAGTCTATATTACTGACCAGCCCTCTTTGCCCTCTTCTGGGGTTAACCCTGTGTGACTAATTTATATACTGACCAGCCCTCTCTGCCATCTTCTGGGATTAACCCTGTGTGGACTAGTCTGTATACTGAACAGCCCTCTCTGCCAACTTCTGAGCGTTAACCCTGTGGTAACTAGTCTATATTCTGACCAGACACCTTTAGGGGTTAACCCTGTGTTGACTAGTCTATATTCTGACCAGCCCTCTCTGCCATCTTCAGGGTTAAACCCTGGGGGGACTAGTCTGTACAATGAACAGTGCATTCTGACATCTTCTACAGTTAACGCATGCCAGTCTGTATACTGTCACGCCAATTTGGTGTGTCTGAATTTATAATTGATTTGGACAAACCAATTTATTTTATCTTTCAGTTTAGATTGTTAGAATTGTGGTTACATTATTTGTTTAATTATTTCCGATTAATTGTAAATGCAATGCAATTTTGTATCGAGGTGCTGCCAGGTCCCACGTGCCACTCGTGGCGACTTTGCTTACCTCATCACAGCGAGCGGCGCCATCTGTTCCCTATCTCCAGACTGGCAGTGTGTCTGACGCTGCACGCTCTAGAGCAACTTCCTTATATGTGTGCTGCACCCGGTCATGTGACCCAGCACACAGTGATGACCTCAGAGGCCACAAGGGAGGGAAGAAACTCGTCCCACTTGTGGGTAACACTAATTGGAGATTAGCCAATCAGACACACCCTGTGTGTATATAAGCTAACCTCTCCCTTGCCTCAGTGCCTGTTGTGGTTTTTGGTTTACCATTTAGTGTTGTGCTTGTTATTTAGATTTTCTGGTTATTGGTATTTGGCTTTGACTCTTGTTATTCTGTTTCTCTTGACCTCGGTTCGTGTTTTAACTATCCTTTTTGCATAACCCGACCATTCTAAGGATCGGTATTGCAATTCTCTTTACTCTGTCCTGTCTACGTGTTAGGGTTCCCTACTGAATGTTACAGCTGCAAATGCAGAGCTTTAGCAATGTAATGCAATGAAAATTAAAGCAAAGGTAAATCAGTTTGCATTAGCAAATTACTTGTGTCATCACACAGTCAATTAACCCCTTAAGGACGGCGGGCGTGCTATGCCATCCTTGGGGACCCGGCTCTAAACGCCAGGGGGCAGCATAGCACGTCCCCGCCATCCTTTGTACTTACCCGGTTGCTGACAATCCCACGTTGGCGTTTGCAGTGGGGGAACTCACCTGGCATCCCACGAAGTTCCCATGCTTCCATTACGGCCTTTCTGGGCCATGTGATCACGAGGACCTCACGATCACATGGACGGCATAGCCGTCCACAGCAATGCCAGCAGGGGGAGTGCCTGTAATTACAGGTAGTCCCCCACCTGTTTGTAAAAAGTTTAAAAAATTAACCGTGGAATTGCAACTACCCCCTTCCCCACCCTTCCCCTTCTTTTTTCTGTATCCTCATCCTTAAAAAATGACAAAACAATAAAAATTGTCAAATTTGAAAAAAAAAATAAAAAAAAAAATTAACCGTTTAAAAATAAAATTATAAATACTTAGATTGTGTGTGTGTGTGTGTGTGTGTGTGTGTGTGTGTGTGTGTATATATATATATATATATATATATATATATATATATATATACTAAGTGAATTTTAATATTATATATTAATATCAAAATACACATAGCCTGATATTTCTTAACTATATAATATATATATATAATATGTAAATACATTAAAAAAAGTTACAAAATTACAAAATATGTGTAATTTTGTTCTAACTGTATTATATTCGTGTGTGTATATGAATAAAAAAAAAATATATATATATATATATATATATAAATGTAGTAATGATAGCACTCCAAGGGCTTCAAAGAAATATATTGTGAAAAAAACTTTGCTTTTATTCAGGCATCTGCCAGTAGTAGATCAACGTTTCAGTTCTCTAATGGAACTTTTGTTAGGATACAGTGCAGTACAAACAACAGTGCTTATATAACATACATACACATTAACATAAAACAAAGTATACAAGCTGTACTTACAATTGACCCTAGGAGTGTTAGTAGCTGGTGTGAATAAAACTGTTAATGACTCACACTCAGTTAATAACCATCAATGTATTTAAAGGTACAGACCAGGTGGCAAATGCTGGTCATGTAGAAGAGCCCATGGGATAGTGTGTTTAGTAAGGGCATATAATAGAAGAAGCTCTATAAACAAGACATATGGTATAGGGAATGCAAATGATAGTCCAGTGGGAAGTATAAAGCAATAATAAACAATACACATGGTCAGTAGCAGTATTGTTAGAAGAATAAATCATATCTAGTATTGGTCATATAGATACGAGCTGACTGCAGCAAATGCAATAGTTGCCAATAATAACAATAAGTATAAATATAAAGCATGTACCCAGGATTGTAGTTATCCTGTTGAAGAAAATGTATGATCATGGCATGAGTACAGTGAGTTACTGATTCACTACTTTACTGATTCATTACTTTACATATTATTTGCACATATATTACATTTGAACAGAAGGGGAAATGATGATATAATAGGCTATAAAGGGGAAACCATAAATAAAATAATTTTATTAATTTCATAGATAATTATTTTTCTTTAGCAATAAATGTGATAGCACAAACTGTTATTTACACATGGGAATTGTGGGGGGATAAAGAAAGGGGGAGAAAAAAGTTATTTTCATAGAAGTGCCATTTGAAGAGCAAATCTAAGCAGGTTGTCTACACGCTATTTAACATTGGAATTTACATAAATGTATATTGAATAATATGATTTAATTCATAGCACGCTACATTTAGTATATATACCCACACTTGATAACTATCTCAGTATCTTCTGAGGTCATCTGTCCATGTCCTCTTTTGACTTTCAATATATAGTTCCTATTTGATTTTTGAACTTTGTTCCCCTCCATATCTTTCGCTTCATATATCCTCTTGTATCTTAAATCTAAGTTAAGGTGTTAATAATCCATGTGTGAGATCTAGAGGTTTTATGATTCTACGAGTGAGCATGCTTTATAACGAATTACCTGGCCACAAAAGACCACCGACTGATTTCCCCTGAGATTTTTATTTTTGGGGTGCTAGTATGTCAGTATGTTTTTATCCTCCTCAAAAGACAATGTGTTCATCTCCAATGTGCTGCTCAACACATGACCAGTCACAACAAGGGAACAGATCCAAATATTCTGTCTCGGAGAGTGAAGTAGGTGGACTCTCTAAAAGGTCCTCATCATCATCTGATTCAAGGTCCTGATCACAATGATCCCAGGCATAGCAGTAATCTAGCTCCCAGGTATCAGTGGAAGAGCTAGAGTGAGTGTCTCTCAAATATTCACCATGATTCCAGGCATAGCAGTAATCTAGCTCCCAGGTATCAGTGGAAGAGCTAGAGTGAGCGTCTAGAAAATATTCACCAAGATCCCAGGCATAGCAGTAATCTAGCTCCCAGGTATCAGTGGAAGGGCTAGAGTGAGCGTCTAGCAAATATTCACCAAGATCCCAGGCATAGCAGTAATCTAGCTCCCAGGTATCAGTGGAAGGGCTAGAGTGAGCGTCTAGCAAATATTCACCAAGATCCCAGGCATAGCAGTAATCTAGCTCCCAGGTATCAGTGGAAGAGCTAGAGTAAGCATCTGACAAATATTCCCCAAGATCCCAGGCATAGCAGTAATCCAGCTCCCAGGTATCCGTGGAAGAGCTAGAATGCGGGTCTGGCAAATATTCACCATGATCCTGGCAACTTTCACAATCTCCCAACTCTTGTGGTGCATCCATTGATGAAAAGGATCCATCTTAAACAAACAACAATGAAACGTAAGATTTTTAAGTTACATTTTAAAATACAATTGCAGCAAATCAGTTAAACTTTCATTTTGTGCACATGTTTAAGGACATCTTTTTATAAACTGCATGATTGCATAAAATAAAACTGAACATTACTTTGATTTAGAAATCTAAATATCAAAAGCAAACAAACAAAATGAAACCAATTTTATAAACATAGAGAAATGTTTTCATACGATTTCCTAAGAGTTCTCATCATTAGAGTACACCACTATATTAAGAATACTTTAGGAAATGTTAGACAGCCCTGTGCTGGATCTGTTACTAGAGCCTGTATAGCAAGTAGGTTATACATCACCATTTTGTTCCCCAAATACATGCCATACATCATAACAGATATTAATATCAGAGAATTGCTGATAAATGTATAATACCTCTGTGAGATCCTTCATGGTGTTGTGTAGTATCTCCTTCTAGTTCTCCATCCAGTATTTGAACCGAGTTAGCATCATATAAGTCCACAGATTGGAAAAAGTGGGAAAAGTCATCTCGGTGACCATCACATTCTTTGTATTCCTTGATGATGCTGACTTTTTCTATCGTGTCCTTACAAACTTTTCAGTACAGTTGATCTGTAGATTGTTCAAGTTGCTCTCCGCTATAAATCGACTTTCATGTGGTCTGCTCCTTTTATTAGAACAAAGTGGGAGGATCCAGTCATTGTCTGAGGTGGTGTGACCAATAAGAACATGACCTGGCTGGCCCTGGCTGCTTATGCTAAGAGATCTTTGTTTCTAAACAATAGGTTGAGATAAGCATTCCTGAAGATTCTAGATTTTAATATTCCAATCTCTCCTATTGTAGAACGAATGATTAGCATATTTTGCTTTTAATAAATTTCATTTAAAAAAGTACATTTTTGCGGATAATTATCTTTGTACTCTTTTCCTGCTCTATAATTTAAAGAAACAAAACACACAATCCAATCTGAAAATCTTAGAAAGCAAAGGTACTTTTAACTAAATGTAGAACTCTTCACATTGTTAAAATAAAAAATAAAAAATATGGTTTGAAAAGAATAAAAATAGAAATCATTATTAGGACACATGTTCCTGTAAGGTGACTTGAGATAACAACGTACAAAGATGACAATATTGAAATATGTGAAATATCAGGCAGGTATAGTTTCAGGATTATTTACTAAAATGAGAATTGCCAGGAATTCAAAATGGGTTTAAAATTGGAGGGAAACATAGCTAAACTGAAAACAGTTGATTTAGAGAATGCTTTTAATTTAGCTATTGTGGCCTAAAATTTCAAGTTCACTTGGAATTCCAGGGAAAATTCTCACTTGAGTGAACAGCTATGTTTGTGATACAATCTCTACAGAAAACAATGGCATTAGATCTAAAACTCTGTGTGGAAAATGTCAAACACAGCCTATGTGTTAAATAATGTGAGTTTATTCTGTTAAGGTAAAATGAAATTATATCGAAAGAATTTAAAAGGACAATAAAGTCAAAAGTGTCAAAATAGTAATACTCTACGAGGTAGCTCTGTCACCACCTTGCCACCATTTATATTTCACAAAGATAATATCCTTTATAAGGTATTCATATTATTTGGAAATGGGGAACATCTTAGTTTTAAAGTCAAAGCCTAAATTGATAAAACTTGACAAAAGAAAACACTTTTGCTGTCGAGTATTTCACTCCCCAGGGCCTTCACTAGGCTGTGTAAAATGGGTATAATTTTGCCCATTTCAAGAGTTGGTCTAGGGAGGATACTGACGTCTTGTGGGGATCCTACATAAAACTCTGTATTGTACTCTGGCGCTTGTGAGAGAGTATGACAATGAACGAAAATGGCTATGCCTGTGAGGGAAAGCTTCAGGTACTTCTATCTACCATCAGTTTCTTCCACGGCCTCCCCAGTACAAGCAAGCAAGTGTTTACTGTGGGGATATTTATGGGTGATAAATATTAAAATAATATTTTTATAAAAAATTATTAAAAATTTCATAATTTTTATTATATCAAAAATGTATCTCGGCACTGTCCCTAAATTTAATAATATAATAAAGCTGAGAATTTCCCACTATTTCAATTCTCTTATATCCTAGCGCATGTTCATTATGAGGATTTTTAGTCCACACTGTAAATCACAATTCTATTATAAAAATATAATTTATTGTGACAATAATAATAAAATTAATAATATGTAACATGCGTTATAATAATCAGTGAATATTTAGTATAACATAGGCATACAATATGGCAATGGTTTAAACACAAGACGACGGCTACAGCACCAACTATCAAGACGTAACAACATTTATGATAGGTAAACAATCTCACGAACACAGCTCACAGCACAACCAGAAGCCATAAAATCTTGGCTATCAGTTAGATCCTGATTAACTATTCCACTGCTGGTTACAATCCTCCTAGGCATATAATATCCTATTCTATTGCTATTTTCAATAAAGTAATGTTCATACCAGATCATTAACTATTCCTGGAACTAACCAATAAGAATAATCTACCAGGTTTTACATTAGCCGAATTTTAATCTCCTTACATAACATGCACTATCTTAATTCAGAGCTAATCAATACATCTGGATAAATGTGGCATGCTAATCTATTGGTAAATATTAATATATCGCTATTGTTTATTCCGCCTGCAGTAATGGAATTTTGACAACCATATACTCTTTAGTTAACAAAGATTTCTAATTTGAAATCTGACCAATTTATCCAGGCATATATTTCTGCTATTAGTAAATATTTAATTAATTTAAATTAATTAAATAAAACCAGCAGAATTACCAGTGATGTTGTAGATGCTCTTATCAGATAAATAGATAACCCCAGGAACTTGAATGCACGTATGATTACTGTATATAGGATTGTATGTAATAGAAAAGTGGTGTTCGTTAGAAAGTAATAAGTGTCCAGGAAATTGTTTAAGTTGCTTCAAGAGAGTTTGAAGGGGTTCAAAGAATATAAATCTTTGAATGTCAGATTGGAGTGTCAGTCCCAGAGTGTCTCCTCAATGTGTGTCCTGAATCTGAGTATGTCTGAATCTCCCTCTTTTCCCTTTGTTCTTCCTTTTTAAAGGGCCAAACTCTCAGTTCGTCATTAGTTGATCGGACGAATAGGAAGCTGGAGCTGTGTCTACCTTATCTATTATTATCTAGTTTTTGGTCAGTAGATGGCGCAATTACATCACCAAAATTTCTTGTCCTGGAAAGAGTTAACTAAAAATGATGATGATTTTGACGTAATTTTGGCTTATCTATATGGCCTGCATAAATCGTAAGACGTGTCACATCAAAGCATTTTCATTTGTTTTTTCCAGTCTTATTCCAGACAGAACGTCGGCCATATACCTTTAAATCCACTTTCTGACATGTCTAAACCTTAATTTCATCCCTTGCTCACAATGGGACTTTGTAAGATTTAGAAAGTAAAATTAATTACTTGGTGTTATCTATAACTTCTACTAGTGTCTTTCTTGTGTGAAGCTGTGTGTAAGATTATTTTTATATTCCAGTAACATTTATTACATAATATATTTTTCATTGATATTTATCAATGAATAGTCTATATTATTAACATGATGCTAATTATATGTGTTTAATATAAAGACTTCATTTCTTATCACTTGCTTTGTTTACATAACGCATTCCTTAGCTCAGGCTTGAATGGCTGGAGTTACAGAAAGCAAGAAATGTCTTTCTTAGCATGAAGATACCAAAATGGAGTCAGTTTTGTTTTAAGTGTGACTGGCAGTAGACCCTTTTTTTAAATTTCTATTTAAGCACAAAATGTCTGCTGATATAAATATACTGACATTACCTTGGCCAACATATTCTTCAATATTGTGAAATTAATTGGACTGTATTTTATGCATCTCCGATAACTCATTACTCTGGTAGTAATAAGGATATCAGTTACTAAATTATCTTTGTGTGAATAAGAAGCTACAGGCCAACCTTCTGGGCAGTTTCAGAACAAAGTGCGTGTTTATAGCCTACGTATCAGTCATACATGTTGGATCCTAGTGCAAGAAAAAGCCATAAAATATCTGCAACTCAGCCTACTGCTTACAGAAATGAATACCCAGTACTGTATAACTGATCCCACGCAGTCATTCAGACTAACGTACGTTATTTAAAAACTCTATGTAAAATGGTTTTCTCAACAGCATGAAGAATTAAACTACAAGTAGTCGCATTATTACTATTTTTGAAATGTAACACTCTGCAGCAGTGCAAAAATTGAGTTTATAGGTAGAACTTTAAAAACTACCATAATGTAAAATCACATCCCAATAACTGAAATGGATATAATCCATGAAAATATTACTTCAATAAATAATAATTATTTGACCAATGTGTGCATTTGTAACCAACAAATCAGCCAAACATTAGCTAGTACAAAGTAAAAGAAAAAACCCCAAATATCTGCAGCTCAGCCGTAGTTATGGAAATATCCCACATGCACACCTAATACTGTATAATGAAACACATGACAATCTTAATGAGCAATGTGCTTGGTTTATTTCCTCGGTTAATAATAAAGTTGCAACTAGTTGTATTCCCATAATTGATCACGTCACATTGTGCAAGGATGCAAATGAATGGGGCTTAAATGGAAACTATTCCAAACTGTGAAACAAAAATGCAACCCATTGTAAAATACCCACCAAAGCTAGAATATGCGTATTTCAAGTTTCTTCTGGACAATTCAACACATTTTAACTGAAATTTGCATACAATGCCTTCCTCACCTATGTTTGCATATTCATATTGAGTGGCTAAATGGTTTCTGTATTCAGCTCCTTAATAGTGGCTTGGTGAATCAATGCTTAAACAATGTTCTTAAATTTGAATACCAATGAAGGTATTACTGTCAGATTTCACACTTACAAATGAAATGCCCCCATGAAATCTAAAATGCGCGGCCTTCTTAACAGTATATAATT